CCTCTGGGGGTCCACGTGCGAAAAACCACGGAGTCTGGGGTCTGGGGCGGTTGCTTATTCTCCTCGGCGGGATGGTACGGCAGGTTCGTGCGGCGTTGGCACGCCGGCGACGCCAGCGAAGGCGTTCAAGCTGAATTTTGCGACGCGGACGCATCGGTGGACATGGTAACGTCATTGGACCCGACTGGATTCAACCTTGAACGATCGGGGCCACGATCGATTCGAGGTTGAACGATCGACGCGGTGTCAAAAACTGTTGCGCGCGCCGACGCCGCACGAACCCACCCTGAACGAGGGCGACTCCGCCGGCGGGCTTGGTCTTGTTGTGCCGAGATTTTTGATCCAGAGGTGCAGAGGCCCTGGATGGGGGCACAGGACGCAACAGCACTTTGTACGCCCCGCTGTGAGGCTGAGGCTTCACACCATGTGTGCGAGGACAACATCAGCCGAAGACGCACACATTCAGCCTCCAAGCCCCCCCATCACTGGTTGACCGTTGAGATTTCGTGAGAGTGCCCTGAGATCCGACGTCGGGGAAACATGTTACCACTGAGAAGTCACGAGTGGAGCGCTGGACCCAATCTGTCTGCGGCCGTTCTCAAGCCGGATCGACACGTGGTGGCCCCCGGGCCCGAAACCGGGCAAGAATGCTTGGTGTGACGAGTGTGCGGCGCCTGGATCTCGAGGGAGGGCCAACCGAGATCGATCGTGGTCAGCACGTGGGCGCCAGGAGACTCAGAGATGCACCTCGAGATCATCGGTCTCAGTTCTGGGCAATCCGTGGCTTTTGTCCTCTGTCGGCTGGCTCCTGGCTCCGTGACCCTCCAGAGACGAGCCAGGACGAAAAGCCAGCCCTGTGGAAGTGGCCGAACTCCCCATGGGGGGGGCATGTGGCGAAAAGGCTGGCAGCCCCAGAGCAGAGGGCCTCTGCGGCGCTTTCGAGCCAGATCGACCTGCGAGCGTGCTGGGCCTCTGGAGGGGCGCGGAGACCCCACGGCAACGCGGCTGCTCCGGTGGCCGCCAGGATGTCGCCCAGGCCATGGTCCCACGCGCCCGCGGCGTGCGGCGCGCGCCGGGCCGCGTGCAGGGGGCGCCCCGGACCGTCTCGCAAGAGAGTGGGTCGGTCGTTATGTCAAGGGGGGGGGGCGATGCACGGCGGGGCGAGGAAAGGTGCACCTTTCGTGCTCTGGAGGGGAGGCCTCAAGGGGCCCCCCGAGGCCCAAGAGGGGCACGAGAGGTGCACGCTCCTTTTCCCCCCTGGATCGCCCCCCCTTCTAAGCAGCGCTCACGTGGGGGCGCCATGCCCGCCTGGCACTGCTCGCCCGCTCGTGCTGCAGGCCGTCGTCGTAGTCGTCGTCGACGTCGGTGTCGGCGCCGCGCTCTGGCACCGAGGTCAGAGGGTCGAAGTTCCTGGGCGTTCTTAGCCCGCTTTGGGCCTGTGTGGGCCGGTGCCTGTTCTCCTTTGCCCCCCCCCGCGGCCGAGGGCAGTCTGCTTCGACGGCAGGGGTCGGTCGTCGGTGCGGGCTCGCCGGTGGCAGGCTGGCCCCACCGTTGGTCTGGGCCTGCCTGGCACCTGAGAGCTGCGCGCGCAGAGAGGGGCTCGATGCCTTGGCATCCCTTAGGTCACCCCAGGGGCGCGGCGGTGGTCGCGCGCGGTGCGCCGCGGCCTTGGACGGCGAGCTGTCCTTCTCCAGGCCGGCTTCGCGAGGGTGCGAAGAGGACCGCGCTCCGTGCGGCGCGCTGCGCGCCGTGAGGTGACCTCGTCCGGTGAGAGTTGAGGTGACGCCGTTGGCTCAGGAATCCCAGCTCTCCAGGTGTCGCGGCCGCAAGCTGTGATTCAGCGAGCGAAGAAGTCACCGTGTCCGAAAGAGTGTCCCCTTGAAAATGGAAACGGCAACAAAAACGGCGACCGGAAACGGCAACAAAACGGCTCCAGGATTGGAACCGGAGCGGGAACCCGTAGAAGAACGGCGACGGAAAGTGTAAAAAACGGCAAAACGGAAGCGGCAACAAAAACGGCAAAACGGAACCGGCAACAAAAACGGCCCTGTCGTTTCCAGGGCCCATTAAGCCCCAGGCCCTCCAGACAGGCTCCGCGGTGCCCCTCAGGAGCCCCCAAATGACCCTCAGAACCTTCACCGAAGCCCATCCAGGGCTTCCTGTAGCTCCCAGGGGCGTCTGGAGCGCTCCAGGAGGGCACTCCTCTGGCCTGGAGGTGGGCCCCAGGACATCGTTGCTCCTTGCTCCCCCAGGGCCGCCAGAGTGTCCAGGATGCTTTCAGGGTGCCCAGGGGGGAGGGCGGGTGGCAATGGGGGGGGAAGCTCAAGAGGGGGCGAAGGGAAGAGCCCCGAAGGGCCCCTTTTGGGAGCCAGCACGGGCCCAAGTGGGGCCCCCCAAAGGCTCCATCCCACGTGTGGGTACCCCTCCCCCATCCCAGACCCCCGACGTCATGAATTTTTCATGACATCGGCCTCCAGAGGTCTCGACCCCTTCCCCGGGATCAGTTTTTCGTCCTGCTTCGTTGTTTGACGCTCCCGAGGCCCGGTAAGGGCCCCTGGAGGCAGAAAATAGGGAAAAACCTTCCGTCGTGATTTTTTCACGACTCGAGGGGGTCTGGGATTGCCACCCGCCCAGAGAGCTCGGCGGCCCTTCGCCGCGCCGGGCAGTCACGGCGCCCAAACCTTGCGAGTGGCACACACGGGGTCCAGGCCTTGCGGCACACGCGGTCGGGATCGTTTGCTGGAGGAGGAGGAGGAGGAGGCGGAGGAGGAGGAGGAATGAGGAGGAATGAGGAGGAGGAGGCGGAGGAGAAGGAGGTGGAGGAGGAGGAGGAGGAATGAGGAGGAGTGAGAGGAGGAGGAGGAGGAGGAGGAGGAGGAGGAGGAGGAGGAGATGGAGGAGGAGGAGGAGGAGGAGGAGGAGGAGGAGGAGGAGGAGGAGGAGGAGGAGGAGTGGGGAGGAGGAGGAGGACGAAGGATGGAAGAAGGATGCATACGGACCAGGAATGCTTAGCGTGTCGCGCCCTGGGCCGGGTCCACGACGCGTCGGCGTGACACGCCAAGCACTTCCCTGGTCATGGTCCCCAATTATTAAGTCGGGCATGTCCCTCTGCAGGAGGAATCTTCAAAAACTGTCAAAAGATAGTCTGGGGACGACTTCTGCACATTTTTGCATCTTTGGGAAACTTGTTCGGCTACTTCTTATCTCGTGTCCGAAACCCGCCTGAAAGAGGACATGCCCGACCTAACCCAAGTACCGGCGACCCGAGAGCTCTCCCAGGCCAGCCACAATTGGGGGAGCTGTGTTCCTTACCCCCCCCGGGGGGGCCCATCGATTTCGACACCCCTCTCGAGAGATCGTCGATGCGATGGGTTGGTTCCCCCAGGGGGGTACGGACCACGGCTCCCCCAGTCATGGCCGGTCGGTCTCCCAACCACCCGCCCCGCGAAGCCGAGCGACGCGCGGGGAGCTCGCCAGGCCGAGGTACCGCGTGCTGCAGGGGCCGCCACCGCGACACGCTGAGCAAAGCTCCCGTACCGTGCTGTCCCTCTGGCATCGCCCGGACGTGTCCATTTCTTCTCGGCGAGGACCATCGAGGAGCATCTCGGATCATTTGGCGGATAAAATGCACACACCAAATCGAACATTGTACGGGGAACGGACGTCCGAGCGATGGCGAGGTCCCAGGAAGGTGTCACTGCTGCATTGCAGGCCCGCGCACAACCGATCCCCCATCGGCCACTACGTATAATTATTCAGTGTCTTGATGCCACGGTTCCTTCATGCAGAGCCTCCAGCGTTCGGCGACCAGCCCGTGTGGGCAACGAGAGGGGGCGGGCCTTCTCAGAAGGCTCGGAAGTTCACCGGCCTCCTGAGGAGGCTCTCCTATAAGCCTTCCCCGGAGACGCAGAGAGCTCGTCAGAAGGCCGCAGGGCTTCTGAGAGAGAGAGGCCCCGCCGCCTCCCGAGAGGGCCTTCAACTCCTCCTCCCTTCCCCCCCTTTCGCTCGCCGCTCGTGCCTGCTGGGAGAGGGGGGGCCCCTGGACCTCCTGGCACGCCTCCCGAGAGGGCCTCCAACTCCTCCTCCCTTCCCCCCCCTTCGCTCGCCGCCGACGCTCGTGCCTGCTGCGAGGGGGGCACGCCTGGACCTCCTGGCGCGCCGGCGGCGGGCGCGTTGGGGGAGGAGGCCGGGGCGTGCTCCTGCCCCTCGCGGGGGGCCCGCTGGGGCCCCGCCCGGGCCCTCGGGGCGGAGCCGGCCGCCGGGCCCTGGGGGGCGATCGGGCTTTAAGGCCGCCCCCTGGGCCCGCCGGGAGAGGCCGAGGAGGAGGAGGGCGCAGCGGAGGAGGAGGAGGAGCGGGAGCGAAGGGGGGGGGGGGTTCCGGAGGAGAGAAGGCCCTCGGCCTAGGCTTAGGGCTGGGCGCCGGGGGCTCGGGATTAGGGCCGCCCCGGGCCCGCCGGGAGTCCGAGGAGGAGGAGGTCGCAGCGGAGGAGGAGCGGGAGCGAAGGGGGGGAGGTTTCGGGAGGGGAGAGAGGGCCCCCGCAGAAGGCGGCGGGGCCTCTCAGCAGCCCCCCGGCCTTCGAGAGAGGCCTTCCTGTGCCTTCGGGGGAGGCTTCATTAGGACACTTCTCAGGAGGCCGGGGGGCCTGCCGAGCCCTCTGAGAAGGCCCGCCCTTTCTCACTTCCCCCCCGGGCTCGCCGCCAAACGAAGAAGCCCCGGGCCTCGGAGCACGAAGTCTGAGAGGATGACGAATCGGAGGAGGAGGAGGAGGAGGAGGAGGAGGAGGAAGAGGAGGAGGAGGAGGTGGAGGAGGAGGAGGAGGAGGAGTCTGCCGAGACAGCGGCTCCACTCTTCCACCGCAACCCGTGCTCGAGCCTATCGCAGGTGGCAGCAACCAGTCTGTCGCCACGTGCGCGAGGGCAGCCCCTCATGGGTCCCTGATTTGTCCAGATCTTACAGGCTACCCGACCGGCATCGCTGGCAGTGGTAGGACCGCGCCCCAATGCGTGACCATGGCACATTCTGTCTTTTCCTGCCGCTGAAGCTCGGTGTCGGCATCGCATGCATGCTCGTCTTTGTCAGCTCGATGGTTTCGATACTGGCGCTGTTGTCCTCAGACATTCGATTTCGGGCAACAGGCTACAATCAGACCGTATATTACTTTCCAGAGATCGTGGGGGCATTTGGCATCGTCTTCGGCTTCGTGGGGCTTCTAGGCACATATGATGACAAGTGGTACCAGCTCTGGTGGTTCAATCGTTATTTCGCTGTGAAGCTCGCAGCGATATGTGTGGCGGTGTTTGCAGACTTTGTCACGCTGCAGGGCTGCGAGGTGTGGGAACACGATCTTGACAGTGGCTCAAACCCCCAGCTGCTTGCGATTTCGAAGGCGGGCATCGAAGAAGCATGCGGCGAGTCACCGCCGCCCCCCTGCCTGTATGAAGTGCACGCGCTGTGAAACGTCGAAGGAAGGCGCGGCCATGCTGATGAGCTGCATGTTCCATCAGCGTTTGGGGAGATTTCTTGGGGCCCGCTGGTAGAAAGCCCTCTGGGGCCGTTCTGGGGTCGTCTTGGGGCTGTCTTGTGGTTCGTCTGATTCCTTAGGGGTATTCTTTGGGGCCTTCTTCTGGGGCTCTCTTGGGCCTTCTTCTGGCCCTCCCAGGCTGCCTTTGAGCGGTCCGGCGCTTTCGGAGGCCGTCTTGGGGGCCTCTCTGGGCCCTCTTGGGGCCATCGAGGGCCGTCTTGGGGCTATCTTGGACGTCTTTTGGATCTTGTTTGGGCCGTCTTGGGCTGTATTGGTGTCCTCTTGCTGGCCGTTTGTGCTGTCGTTGGTTGGTCTTGTGAGCCTCTGGGGCCGTCTTGGATTCTCTTGGCCGAAACAGCGAAAATGTTTAACCAGTGCGAGCAATTGAAGGAACATCATTGTGTCTTGTCTCCCAAAACCTCAGTGGAGACCTCTTGACGCCCTCTTTGGGCGTCTTGGGGGCACTTGAGGCCATCTCTGGCCATCTTGGGGCCATCTTGGGCCCTCTGGGCGGCATCTTGAGCCGACTTGGAGGCAACTTGGGAAATCTTAGGCCGACTAGATGGCGATCAGTGCCCTCTTGGAGTCCAGCTTGAAGCCAGCTTGGGCGGCACAGGTGATGGAGACTACTTGTTCTGTGTGGCTTGCGGGTTGGGCTGGGGGCCACCGGGAACCTTTTTCAGGACGGACCAAACACAACGCCTCCTAGATAGGATCGGCGCAGATGGGGTCGGAGGATCGCTCCGCATCGCCCATGCATCGGCGAGGCGGCTCGATGTGGAGCCCGATCTGCTGCACGTCGACGTCGCCGATGCATCGCCGACGTCGACGATGCATCGCCAGTGCATCATCGATGCATCGCCGATGCATCGCCGATGTATCGGCGATGCGGCGCGATCCTCCGACCCCGTTTACTTACTCCGACCTTATCTAGGAGGCCTTTACAAACGGAGCTACAAATCTTGGGACGTCAAACGCCCCTTCGGCAGGCTGCGGGGGCGGCGGATCGAACACGCCTAGAGTCACCGCCGCCCCTCGGCCTCTTGGAAGCGCCTGGGTGGACGAACGGTGCGGTCAGAGCTCGGCCACGGTGTGGGACGGTGTGTTCCCCCAGCCGTCCTCGTTCGGCCGCTCCCCCCTGTCTCCTCCCATTTCTCTGCATGGGGGCACAGTTCGCTTCAACGGTATCCCCGTTGTGATTGCTCTTCCGCCAGCTTAGCTACTTTGCCTAGCCGCCGACGCAAAAAGCTCCCCCAGCAGTTGTGGGAGCCCTTCGGGGAACATGTGGAGCAGAAAGAGGAAGGGAACCAGCTGGAGGAGAGAAAGGAGGAGGAGGAGGAGGAGGAGGAGAAGGAGGAGGAGGAGGAGGAGGACCAGTGTAAACCCAAGAGTCATCAACGATGTTGGAAGAAACCCTCCCTCCAAGCTCCCTCTCCATAGACCCCTACAAGGGTTCATTTCCACTGGGGGAACTGCCCCGTTGGAAGACAACCGTTTGGAGACCCTGAAGCATGCCAAAACATTGTCCTCGGGACTCCAACGCCACGGATCAACCTGACTGTTGCGTCTTCACGATCCTGAATCGTGCCAGCACGCCATTCTTGGGACTTCAACACCGCGAATCAACGTAACAGTTGTGCCCTCATAGTCCTGACTCTTTGCAAAACACCAATTCTACTTTGCTGCTCATGGGAATCCATGAACCTCTTGCACATGTTTGAAGCGAATGTGCGTGGCGCTACGGCGAGAACCACATTTTGAAAAGGAACCGCCCTCAGTCCGTGAAGCTGCTGCAAATGTTTGAAACGAGTGCGCGCGGCGCTAAGGCGAGGGCCACATTTGAAAACGACTTGCCCTCAATCCGTGAAGCTGTTACAAATGTTTGAAACGAATGTGCGCGGCGCTAAGGCGAGGGCCACATTTGAAAACGACTTGCCCTCAATCCGTGAAGCTGTTGCAAATTGTTAAAGCAAATGTGCGCGGCGCTGAAGAGAGCCACATGTTGAACACCACCCGCCCTTAATCCGTGAAACTGCTGCAGTTCCTTAAAACAAATGTGCGCGGCGCTATGGCAAGAGCCACATTTTGAAAACGACCCGCCCTCCATCCGTGAAGTTGTTGTCAATGTTTGAAGTTTCAGGGTCATGAATGGTGGGGAAGCCTCAGGCGAAACGCCCGGCCCGCCCCAAAATCTGGCTTCGGGGAGCGACAGGGAGAAGTCGTTCACAAAGCAAAGGAAGGAAGGAGGAGGCACCTTGGGACCTTTGGGGGCACTCCCGGCCTCCCGGGCGCCTCCCGGGGGCCTCGTGGAGGCGTTTGGGATGCCTCCCTGGGCCTCGTGGGGGCGGGTGTCGTGCGATTTCCGCTCCTCGTGGACGTTTCTGGCCTGTTTGATGTCGTCGGAAGCCGCCTTTGGGGCTTCTATGGGCCGACTTGTAGCTCTTCAGGGCCGTCATGGGGCCATCTGAAGAGGCCTCTTGGACGCTCTTGGGGTCATTCATCTTGGGAGCCTCCTTGGGCCGTCTTGGTCCGCCAGAAGGGCGAAAAGAAGCACATGCCCAAATCCGTCAACAACCTAAGGTAATCAATGGTTTGGGCCGCTTCGCGCCTTACCGGAGGGATCTCTTGGAGGCCTCTTGGGCCATCTTCGGGGTCTCTTGGACCGTCTTGGGCCATCTTGAGGCCATCTCAGGCCGTTTTGGGTGCATATTGGGCCATCTCGGAAACATATTGCGGCCATCATGGGCTCGCTTGAGGCCATCTTGGCCGGGCTATCTTGGCCGTCTTGGAGGCAATATTGGACCATCTTGCAGCCATCTGGCACGGAGAATTCATTGCCGACCGGGTAGTTCGGGTAGGCGGCGGTTTGGACCGAGACCCCATCGGGAATTACATACATAATCAAAAGCCACTCATAAATCTGCCACGCTGTGTACCCCTGCGGCAAGCCAACACAGGGCGGCGGACGTAATCGTGGACAAGAGGCCTCGTAGAGGCATCTGGGTGTCTTTTGGCAGGCCTCTTGGAGGCATCTTGGAAGCCTCGCTTGGAGGTTTCTTGGGGGCCTCTTGGGGGGCTCTTGGGACCTGGGAGCCTTTTGGGGTCCTCTGTGTGGCCTGCTGGTATCTATATTGGGGCCCTCTTGCGTTCCTCCTCTTGGGTTCTCCCTCGAAATGTCAGTTCGGGTTCCCTCTTTTGGGACCATCCCGGGGCCGTTTTGGCGGCCTCTTTGGCACTTGTGAGAGCCTCGGGGGCATTCTTGGGCCGTTATTTGGGGCCTGGTGGTCCGTCCGCACTAGACGCTCTTAAGACCGAGAAGCCGATCATGTTTCAATCGTGCAACAAGCTAGTTCGATAATTTGGCATCGTGGGCCCCCCGTTCGGGCGAAGAGAACTATGCACATGCACTGATCCTGGCAATGCCCATCCTTGACCCAGGATCGGTGCATATGCCTTCCTGGCCAAGGTCGGAGGGCGTATGCACCGATCATGGGCTCAGGATGGGCCTGGCCAGAATCGGTGCATGTGCATAGTTTTCTTTCCTCTACCCGTAGGGCTGCAAGACGGCCCAAGAGGCCTCCAAGGGAGCCCTATGGTGCTCCCCCTATAGGGCAATCTGAAGATACGCGGGAATGATGGGCCCTCCAGCCATAGCCCCAACGCTTTAGGAAAAAGTCACGCGGGAGGAGGAGGAGGAGGAGGAGGAGGAGGAGGAGGAGGAGGAGGAGGAGGAGGAGGAGGAGGAGGGAGGAGGGAGGAGGGAGGAGGGAGGGGAGGAGGGAGGACCCCCAAGAGCGCAATTCCGGAGTCTGGGGCCATGCCAAACAGTTTTTTAAGTCTTCAACCCAGAGAACTCATTGCTGGCACGGCGGCGGATATGTGCCTGGGCTCGCTGGTCGTACTTTGTTGGCTGCTCCATCGATATCGGAGTGTGGGCGTACCTCTTCGCGTGCTCCTACACGTTCGAGGACTACGTGCGCCGCAACCCTCCCTACGTAATCGACTTTGGCGGCGCAGAGTACGATGCCCAGTCTAGGTGGGACTTCTACAAGGTCGACCAGCCAGCGAAACTGGAGGAGGACGAGGAGGAGCAAGAAGAGGAGGAGGAGGAGGAGAAGGAGGAGGCTCCTCCTCCTCCTCCTCCTCCTCCTCCTCCTCCGTCTTTCATGGCAACTTTGCCATGCGTCTTATGCATCTAGTAATCTCGGAGCTCACTTGTGCTACAAAACAACGAAGCAATGCTAGCATCACGGTCTGTCTCCCATCTCGGACATTCCTCAACGCAGTCGTAGTGATGATCGGCATGGTAGGCATCCTGCTGCTGCTGCTGCTGCTGCTGCTGCTGCTGCTGCTGCTGAGCACCGGGATGCATGGACGCCATACACAGTCCCTACTCAATAGAGGTCCGCTGATCCAATTCAAGGCCGTGGTCCCAGGAGGAGAGGAAGAGGGCACTTCGAGGACTCTAGGAGGGCAAGAGCCATCCGTTCATATGAGGTAGCTCAGCGAGGCGCAGTTCATTCGTCAGGCTCGGGCGCAGCAGCAGCAGCAGCAGCCCAGCCTCATCAGTAAACGCGACAACCACAGCAGCAGGCCGATGCATAGCAGCAGTGACGGCCTTCTCCAGAAGCTATCATGGAGCAGTGTATCTCGGCAACTCTTGGCACGAAATTCACTCACATCGGACCGTCTTGGGGGCCTCTGGGGGCCCTCTGGGCCCGTCGTCGGGCACTCTTGGGCCCGAGCAGTTCATGCGGGAAGCCGCGGGGAGCCCAGGTAGATTGCTATGGACTTACGGCCGGTGCCGCCGACCCTGAAGACGACGACGACGAGGACGAGGAGGAGGAGGAGGGGGATTAAGGTGGAAGAGAGCAGGTCAAGGCGAAGGAGATGTTCCCCATGTGGGCCGAGGGATGGGAATTTGTGGGACTCTCTTAGAGACCTCGAGGGGCCGTCTCGAGGTGTTCTTGCAAGCCTCTTGGGCCTGTGTTGGATCGTCGGGAAGCGAAAGAGGCCAGAAAGCCTAAATCGTTCCAAAATGCATAGGCAATCGATGAATGTTGCCACATGGGGCCGTCTTGGGAGTGATCCTGGATGGTTCTGGGGGCGTCTTGCACGCCTCTCGACCCGTCTGGAAACCATAAAGGCGTCTTGGACGGATTGTTCGGCGATTCGGGGCATTCTTGGACCTTCTTGGGGGCCTCTTAGGGCACTCTTGGCGCGTCTTAGCGCTTTTTTGAGCTCCGGGATGCCCAGGGACGGATGCGTATCTGACCCCCCCCCCGGACCCCCCCCCCGGACCCCTCCCCCCCCCTCGGCGGGGGAGGTATCAAAGGGAAGGGGCTTTCCTTCTACTGAAGGACGACGTTGCGAGCGCTTAGGAGCGCCAGGAGCGCATGGGAGCGCTTGGGAGCGCATGGGACGGAGCGCCTGGAAGCCTGGGAGCGCTTGCTAGCGCTTGGGAGCACCTGGGAGCGCTTGGGAGCGCCTGGGAGCGCCTGGGAGCGCCTGGGAGCGCTTGGAAGCCTTGCGTTTCCACATCCTCCCCCGTGCCCTCCACGTCCCCATCCCGCGAGGGGTGACACGGGGGCAACAGCCAGGGGTGATCGGCCTCGGTGCCCTCCTCCGAGGTCCGGGACCCGCGCAGGGACCGGCCGCTGGAGCCCCCCGCGGGCCTGGAGGAGGAGGACCCCTTCGTCCAGTACGGCGCGGTGCGGCAGGACGAGGAGGCGGGGGTGCCCCTCGTAAGCCGTCGGCGGCGAGCTTCGGGGGGAAGCGAGGAGCGGCGTGGGTCTTCCCAGAAGGCCCGGACCCCCCCCTGCCGTCTAAGAGACGTGTGCTGAGCCCTCCCCGGGGACACAGGGGACCTCTCGGAAGGCCCGAGGCCTCGCGAGAGGCCCCACCGCCTTCGGAGAAGGCCTTCTCGTTTTCACTCCCCCCCCATCGCTCGCCGCCGAATCAGATGCAATGCGAGGGGGGGGGCAGGCTTACAGCGGAGGTCCATGCCAAGAGACACCCTGCTTGCCTCCGGGGTGCCCTGGGTTTCGTGGGTCTCGCGATGCCTCTGCGATGGAAAGCGTGACGCTCCCACACCAAAAATCCATGGACATCCTGGGGTCTCAGGGTCGGGTTCCATGTGGAAGGTTTTCTTGTGGAAGGGCCCCTGCTGTAGCGGGGGCTTAGTGGGCCCCGGAAACGGCAGGGCCGCTTTTTTCACCGTTTCCGAAAAGTGTCCCTTGAATATGGAAACGGCAAAAAAACGGCGACCGAAAACGGCAACAAAAACGGCTCCAGGAATGAAACCGGAGCGGGAACCCGTAAAAGAACGGCGAAGGAACAAGTAAAAAAGCGGCGTCGGAACCGGCAACAAAAACAGCATAACGGAACCGGTAAAAAACCGGCCTTGTCGTTTCCAGGGCCCACCAAGGTCGGGTTCCTTGTGGAAGGTTTCTTGTGGAAGGGCCCCTGCTGCAGCGGGGGGGGGGGGCCTCGAGCCCCCGCCGCCCCTTGCTCGCCGACAGGCGCCCGAGAGACCGCCCCCCGCCCGGGGAGCGTGCGGACTCGTCCTCGGGAACCCGCCGCCGGTCCAGCGGCGAGGCATCGCCGAGTCGAGCACGACGCTTCCCCCCCTGAGGCGGAGGAGGAGGAGGAGGAGGAGGAGGAGGAGGAGGAGGAGGAGGAGGAGGAGGAGGAGAGGAGGTTGAGGAGGAGGAGGAGGAGGAGGAGGAGGAGGAGGAGGAGGAGGAGGAGGAGGAGGAGGCTTGCGGGCCGTCGCAAACGTGGAGCAAGGGGGCGTGGATTGGCGCGTCCCGTTTCCATGGGGAGTCGCGCATCTCCGCCGCCGAGCGAGGCAGCGCCGGCCGCGTTTTTTGGGGAGGGCCCCTCTCCCGATCCATGGATCAGGCGACCGCGCGCCGAATCCATGGATCGCTGATCCACGTTCGCGCGTCCCCGACCCCTGGGCCGGTCTTCCCCTCCACGTTGCCCCCCACTCACGGAGGGTCCGAGGCGGGAATTTATACATGGCCACCGCCTGGAGGATCAATCTTCGGGGACCGCGGCAGGCGGGCCCCTGGGGGCCAACATTTGTCCATATCTACCGCCCCACTGGGGCACCAGGACGTCGGCTCCCAGGCGGTGGATATGGATAAATCCCCGCCTCGCAGAGGGGCCGCAGGACGTTCCCAGACATCCTCGAAGTTCGATCCCCTCCTGCTGCTGCTGCTGCTGCTGCTGCTGCTGCTGCTGCTGCTGCTGCTTCTCCTCCGCAGCCCTTGTGGCTCGAGAACTGGCCTCGCGGCCCTGCCTTCTGGGCGGATATGCAGCGCCGGTCCGTGGCGCGCCCCCCCCCCCCCCCCCGAGCAGTTTTGCCGGCGCTCGCCCCGTCGGGTTCGCCCGAGCCTTCGGGGGCCTCTTCCATGTCAGAGGCGGCGGTCGGGGCGAATCCGGCTCCGACACCTAGCAGGGCACACGTGGGCACATCAAAGCCGTGGCAGGGCGTCCCCCCGTGCTGTTCTCGATGTTCCTCGGGCTCCTCGCGGTCGTTGTGGCGTTCGCGGCGGTGTTTTGGCTCATCGCGGTCGTCTTCGTGGCGCCCGCGGAGGTGTCCCAGGATGTACGGGTGAACTTGTTGAGGTCAAAATCGGTGCGACCAGCCCTGGGGGAGCAACACATGTATCCAGGGGTTCCGATGATCAGTGTCTTCGGCGAGGCTCTCCAGCGAATGCGTGAAATGCCCGACCATGGCCCGTTCGCCTTTTTATCGTCGCCGCCGATCCGCGTCACCACTTCTCCCCGCGCGTCGGTGGAGTTGCCGTGGGGTTTCCCGCGGCCCATCTCGCGCCAGGCAGCGCGCGGGGGTGCGCCTCCGCCTGCTCTCCCGAGGGTTGCTCCTGGTGGCCGTGGGCCGTGGTCGATCAAAGCCATTCGACGCGGGCGCAGCCATGGACAGCGACACCCCGTAATCTGAAGGAGCGGCACGTGAAGCGCGCCGCGATCATTCGCGCAGTGCTCAGCCTGCCCGACGCCAACGCCCAGGTCCTGCAGGTCGCCCCCGTCGCAAACATCGAGACGATGCAGGTCGCCCCCGTCGTGAATATCCCGAAGATGCGCTTCAAACTGCCGATCCTGGGCGACCTGCTGCTCTGCGAGCCCAGCCCGTGCCGATGGGCCCTCGGGCGCTGCAGCGTCGGGCGATTCTGCCCGAGCTGCCCCCTAGGAGGGCGCCCCTGAAGGTTCCGCAGCTCCCGTGCCATCCAGCGCAGCGGTGTCAGCTTTATCAATGCGGGTTTCGACCCAGCGCGGATGTCTGCCACGCCCCCCGTGCCCTCTCAGAGGCGCCACCAGCCAGCAGCAGCGCAGGCGCTGCAGTTCCAGATCGCGGGGGGGGCCAGCCAGCTTAGCGCCGCTTGTAGCTTGTAGCAGTGCGCCTGGTGGCAACGCAGCAGCGTACCAGAGCATCGCTGACGATCTCTTCCTGATGCTCAGTTCCACCGTCGACGCGGTCACGGGCCCTGCCCGCGACGGCATGGCGGAGGCAACGATTTCCCAGCGCCTGGGCGCTACCGTTCAGGAGCTGGTCGAGCCCAGCACTCGGTTTTTCGCGCTCAGAGCAAGCCCCGAGCGCTGCTGCCAAGGCCGCCGCTGTCATTCATAAGCAGTCGCGACAGCGGAGGCGCAGGCCATTGTTCTCGACCTCATCGAGCAAGCAGCATATGGGATCGGCCGCCCGACATCGCCTTCTTCTCGGGCGGCTCCGAGGAGCCTGTTGCCCCGCAGTCGGTTTTTCGCGCCCTCCAGGATGGGGGCGCGAGGGCTGGCCTTGCCGACGAGATGCTCTCGCTCGTCGGTGACCCACTTCGTGCAGATTCGCGGTGCGCTTTCTCGCGGGTCTCCAGAGCTGGTGGCTCCGCGCTCCTCAGCGCTTGCTCAGCGTCTTCTCGGCATGTTGGCGGCGCCTGGAGTCGGCCCGCGGCCCTGGGCATTTCCTAGCGAACCCGATCGGGGATCCAAGCAGGCCGGAAGGGCGATCCAGACTTGCAGCCCGTCGACGCATGCGAGTTATTTTCCTTCGCGCCCCAGCCAAGAGGCCGGGAGTTCCAGCGGGGGGGCCCGTTGGTCAGGCTGGCCATGGTGCGCGCCATGGGGGCCCCCTGCCGAGCCCGAGTGGAACCGCGAGTTGGCCGCGAAGCTCGGCGTCCGCGACGACTGGGCCGCGGCGCGGCCCAGTCCTTCCTCGCCGAGGACGACGGCGCGCAGTGGCGCGGCGCGCGATCCTCGCAGTCCCCGCCTGCAGCCATAGGAGGCCCAGGCCCCCGCACTTCTCGCGGAAAGCTCCGGGGCCTGTCTGTGCGATTTCGGCCGGGCGCCCCGCGCGAGACCGAGTTGCCGCGCGGCCGCGCGCACTAGGGGGGCATTGGCTTGGGCCGGCAGGTCCACGGCTCGCGGCGTCGCCCTGTTCGTCTCATGTCTTCCTGCCCCAGCGGCTAGTGCACCTCCTTCAGTAGCTCCGCCTCTCCGTCGAAGGGCGGGGCGGCGATTCTCCCGCCGTCCGACGGCGCGGCGCTGCAGGTCGACCTGGCGAACGAGGGCGGCCTGCCGGGCGCGCCTCTCGCAGGGTCTGCGGTTTCGGCCCCCTTTCCCCCCCATCCTGGGCCTCGCTTTGGGGCCCTTCTTCAAGCTCGACATCTTCAAGCGCGACCGCGTCCTCTTCGGAATCAACGCCGTCGAGCGCGCATTCGCCATTGCGCCTGGTGGCGTCGCGGCCTGCGGCCTCTCCTCCTCCGCGGTTTTCCTCCCGGTCGACCGCCCCGCCCCCTTCGGCGGCCCCCGCTCTGCGGCGCAGGGCCCGCGTGGCGGCTGCGGCGGCGAGGCCTGGGCTACGAATGCCCCGCGCCAGCCAGCGGCGCCCCCGCGGCTTTGCTGCGAGCGAAATTGTGCCTGCTTGCATGTGGTGCGCGACGTCGCGCTATCATCCCTGGTCGGGTCCGGGTGGTCGAGAGTTTCGGTGGCGGCGTCTGCGATGTGGTGTTCGTGCGCGCCCGCCTCGCTGGCCCCGCTGGCTCGCCCTTGCCGGCGCGCGACCGGCGCTGGCGGTTCGCCCGGCGGCGCCCCTTCCGAGGGGCGCTGGAGATCGAGGGCGGGGCCCCCGCCAGATGCGACCGCCGCTCGGACGGCGCGGCGTGGATTGACCGCGCGCTCGGTAGCTTTCAGTGCGCCCCATCCCCAGCCTCGAGCTCCTCATGGACGTCAACCGCCAAGCAGCCGATCCAGGCGGCAACCGCATGAGCGACTATGCCATCGTGTCGGTTCGACTTCACTTCCACCTCCCCGAGCCATCCCCGACTTCATCTTTAGCTCCAGAATGCGCGGGGCCTTCGTTGCCCAGGTCGACGACCAGTGCAGCCTCGATGTTGCGGCGGCAGCCATGCGCTGGAATACCCTCAAGGACAACAGGACCAGCGCAGCGCGGCTTAAAAGGAGCCGCTTCGCGCCTCTGCCTGGCAGTGCCCACGGACAGTCTGTCGCCTCAGCGCGACTACTCGCGCGTCGCAGCATCTCCAGAGCGATATGACGCCAGGGCGCTTCTCTCGCTGCCGCTGTCATCAAGCGCGCCGAGTTGGGGCCGCAACGTATCGAGGTCTGCGCCATCTGCGCCGTCCCTCTCGTCCTGGAAGCACTCTTCGCCTCGGAGATCGCGGCCGCGCGCCGCGCCCAGCCC